TGACTAAAAAGTTAAGGGTGTGTTTGGATTTAATTTTAGATTGTTTTTAAAAATATTTTTTCACGTTTTTTAAGACACGAAAATAAAAACGGTATGCAAATCGTGTTTTTTTTAATAAATATTTTGAAAATAAAAACGAAAACAAAAAACATTGAGAATAGTTTTTGTGAAGGAATTAGAAATCGGTTAAAAATTATTTTTTCTTTATTATTTTCATTTTTAGTACTTATCAATAATGTTATAATATATTAATTAATAATTATAACGAAACATGATGTCATTTTTTTATTATACTCAAAATAATTTCTTAAAAAATCAATCAAACACAATTTTAAAATCAGTGCTAAAATAATTTTTAAAATAATCTTATTTTTACTTTTATATTAAAAATAAAATCATTTTAAAAACGTTACCAAATGGGCCTTAAAGGTTATTATTGTCATGAGAGTTATTTTTCCTCTTCTATATATACGAGAGAAATATTATTGTTAATCTTCATATCATTATTTTTGTTATTCTCTGTATTTATTTTTTGACACAAAAACCTTACTATCTGATTAAGTAATAGTATATCATGTTAATAGAAATTATGTATCAAACAATAAATATAAATAATGATAAAAAAAATAAAAATAATAATAATGTTAACATTTTTCGTGTAAATAGCGATTTTATACAGTTGGTGGTGACCTGTAGTACAGTGAACAAAATAATTATAGCATAAACTGATTTGACGCGGAGAGAGAATTCATGGGGACATGAGACGTATCCATCGTTTTATCCAAAGTATTTTCATGTTTTTCCTAAACCCTGCATTTCTTCCACAAAAGACCTCTTAATTTCTCTCTCAAAACTGGGGACTAACCCAAATACCGCTCACCCCATTGTTTTTGACTTCGCCCCATGTTTATCTCAATGATACCACTCTTAAAAGCCATCATATAGAGCTTTTAGTTCCTTTTTTTTTTTTTTTTGTTTCTTTTCTTCGGTGGCCATCATATAGAGCTTTTTTAGTTATTCTATTCTACTCTAAAATGTGTTCATTTAACCTGAACATATTAACGCAACCGGAAAAATAACCATAACACAATTGTTATAGATTTTTTTTTTTCTACTAAAGACAGCTCTTTCACAGCTTTATTTATTCTTTTATTTTAGTTTATTTTTTTATAAATAAAAAAAGGGATCAGTGCCTAATGGTGTACGCTTCAGGATCAATCACATAACTACTATTTTTCTTCTTGGTTAAAGGAAAAATATCACTTTTTTAAAAAAAAATTTATGGTGAGACTTTTAAAAAAAACTGCTTTTCTGGTGAGACTCTTTAAAAAAAAAAAACCCTATAATAAAAAATTGAACGGGTGGGAGTCATCTTAGAAGGAAAATAGTAGTTATGTGATCCAATCGTTTCTCAATGCCACTGCCATTGTTGTCGTTGTAATCAATTTTTGTTGTTGTTTGGCTTTTAAGAACCCTAAATAGGAGATAGAGAGTAAATAAAAACCAAAGAGAAATGAACAATTTATTTGTTAAAATTAAGGGTAATATGAACATTATCACCCATAAAAATGGTGTGCATCAAAGATTAGAAGAAAAAAACAAAAGTAGTACAAACCAATTATCTATTTTCAAAAGTAGAATGAAGCCTAATTTCTTGGTGTTTTCACGTCCCCGACCCAACACAATAAGAGAAGTCTCTACTGGTATAATAGGCAACAAGATATTTAGGGCCCGTTCGGTTCGCTAATTCGAGTTTTTAATTCGAGTTAAGATGTGATGTTGTGTGAGAGTTTTAGACTGTAGTAAAAAAGTTAGATGTTACTGTTTCTCAAAACTTTTTACTGTAGTAAAACTCGAATTCTAAACTCGAATATGCGAAAAGAACGGGATTTTAGTATACTGGATACCATCCCTCGAATAATTGCACAACTACCTTTTAGGGTAGTTTTGCACACTTGTCGATGCTTATTCCTAAAATGGACATTCCTTCTTGAGGTGGGTAAAAGGTGATATCTCTACTACAAAAATGGTAAATTCGTACTCTCGGGCAATATGTGCGATCCGATCTGTGCTAGGGCACCATCCATCCAATCCTTTTGGTAAATCGATGGCTGAACTTTTCTTGTGGGCCTCGCTCTTCAATTCGCGAGGTGGGACCATTGATCCGGTCTCACATGTTTCTTCTTAATCTCGTTCACGACATAGATCGTTAACATGACTTTGGTAGGGTAGATATATGATTAATCATAATTTCATAGTTTTCAAGTTTATATCCATATTAGTGGATTGTTTTTCTCCAATATTCAAAAGATTAATAACATGACTTAGGTTAGGTGGGACAGAAAGATGGTAGTCAAATCAGTTTATTAATTTAAGATGCAATTTGTTCTTTCTGTTTGTTGTGCTTTTCTTAATCCTGTTAATTACTGTTTGTTACTTTTTTTGCTCCAAATTACTGTCTGTTAATTGCGAGTTAATCGGTCACTACAAGAATAGTGACTTTAAGAGACCAACCCTTTTGCTACCAAAATATTTTTGGTAGCAGAAAACACACTTTTTGCTACCAAACTTTGGTAGCTGAAAGTATCAAGGCTTTAGTTACCAAATTTGGTAGCAAAAATAACACAATCCGCTACCAAATATAATTTGGTAACAAATAACATGGCGGGAAAAGAATTTTGGTTCCCGCCAAGAGCTTTTTGCTACCAAAATAATATTTGGTAACAAAAACATAAGATTTTGCTACCAAAAATTTGGTAGCAAAATATGACTTTTTTGCTACCAAAATGTTTTGGTAACAAAAAGTTGGCGGGAAGTAAATTTTTTTCCTGCCCGAGGTATTTGCTACCAAATTATTTTTGGTAGCAAAACATATAACAATTCTTGGTAGCAGAATCATGTTTTCTGCCACCAAAATTTGGTAGTGAAAAATTAAGTTTTTGCTACCAAAAGCATAATTTGTTGCTATCAAATTTTAGTAGCAAAAAATCAAGTTTTTGCTACCAAAAAACATAATTTTTTGCTACCAAATTTTGGTAGCAGAAAACATGATTCTGCTACCAAATTCTTATTTTGGTGATAAAAAGGCATTTTTTGTTACCAAAAGTTGTGTTTGGTAGCAAATCATATAAAACATTAATATTTATATTTTGTTCTTATATTTTTTGCTACCTTCGAGCATGTCCACCTTTCTCACCTATTACAACAACTAATGTAAATATATATATAAACCATTATATATATATATAAATTAGATCAAAGATGCACCTATAACATTGTTAAATCTTAAACAAGGATGGTTCTGTTCTTGATTTCATTGCCGTCCAAAAGTTGCTACCAAAATCTTATTTTGGTGACAAAAAGGCATTTTTTGCTACCAAAAGTTGTGTTTAGTAGCAAATCATATAAAAACTTTAAAACTTACATTTTGTGTATGTATTGTTTTTTTTTTGTTTTTCATAAATATGTCCTATATTAAGTTTTAACAATCATTCTAGTATATTTTGTATAACAATTATTTGATAATTTAATTATTTTGTGTAGGTGTAGCAAGAGACATGTTCATATGTATATATATGTGATATTGTTAACTAA